ACCTTTCTCTCCAGCAAGAAACTACTCACTGCTACCGCAGGGGCTCAGGCATGGGGCTGGGGGAGCAGCCACTCCAGCATTAGCACCAGGAGTCTGGGGTTTTGCTGCATGGTTTGATGCTTCCTGCTTTCCATCCCGGCTCAGATTTACCTGAGTGTGGAGGCCCAAGCACAAGGCCTGGGCCCAGCCCTATTCCCCTTGCACTGGAAATCTTGCACAGAGCTGTTCTGGAAAGGGCACGAACATACGCTCTTAAATGCCACCCACCTGCGAGCGCCCAGGCGAGCGCCTGAGGCAGAACGGGCCTCCAGGCTCGCACTGCCTGTCAAGTCTCCAAGGGACGGGAGGAGGATGGGAACCCCCCAGCCAGGTCTCAGGGCTCACCCCCGGCTGCATCCCTGGGGCAGGCAGGTGCTCAGGCTGGCTGCACCACGAACTGCTTTGCCTGAGGATCTTTCTACTTGGAAATGGGGTCACTATGACCATGGATGCCAGCAGGAGAATTCCCAAGGCCCCAAAGGGCAGAGCTGGGTTCAAAGCCTCTGGGCTCTGCCACATAGTGCCTGCCTTCTGATGGGGATGTGAGACTCCCACTCCCCTGGGATGACCACACCAGGGAGCTCACCCAGCGCACGCATGCTGTCAGAGCAAATGGCGCTCGGCACCACTCGAGGGGAAACGCTCACGGGAAGTGGTGGCACTGATGTGGCCCTACCACGTTCAGCTTGAAGATGAACGCTGGTCTCAAAAGGGAGCTGCCTTATGTGTCAGGCTGCTTTGCACCTCTGGGGCAGAGCCCGCGTGCCCTAACACGTGGCCTCCAGAGACAGCCCAGGCACAATGCTCCGGTGGCTCCCTGGCTCCCGTCTCTCCCCTGGAAGAGTCTGTTCACTACAATCCGAGCCAATCTGTCCTGATGACAAGCTACCTTCACCATCAAGCTGAAAATTATGAAGCAGTTTCCCTTGCACTGCTTAATCAAGTTCAATTGCTTCCTGAAATCTAAGAGGCAGCCTAATGCAAACAGTGCCCTGTTTGGAGCAAGCACCTGGTTGGTTAATAAGTGAGAGAGAGGTTAAATAAAAGAGACGTCTGGAGGTGGATGGAGGGCAACAGATTCTGCTGCGAGAACCAGAGCTTAAAGCTTCTTCAGCTGGCACAAATCACAGAGGATGTTTGTAATTTTGAGCTTACTCTTGGCCTTCCTTTAATGTTGACTTTCTCCATCACCAGTGACATGGGGGAGCAAGCTTGTAACCTCCCCCCAGTGAGAGAATCGCACAGCTGAAGAGCCCAGCCTGGGGCTTATTGACCTGCTGAGGTGGGAAACTTACCTCCTTCTCGATTTCTGCCAGTGATTTGATCGTGATGCCCAGGAGATCGACTTGCTGCATCTGAAAAACCCCCAGAAACAGCCTGTTCAGATGTTAGAATAATTCAGCAAATAGATTCTGTCTCCCCAGGGGGCAGAGAGGCCCCATCCCACATGCAGTCCCTGGTGCACCAAGACCAGGCAGAAGCATGTGGTGGTCCGTGGACAAGGCCCTCAGTGCCTGCCTTGCTCACTCGCTGGGGTCACCTGCCATTTGGCACAGGTCTTTTGAAAAAGGCAAATGTTTGTTTCCTTGCACAGGGCTGTGGCCGCTGTAATAACTGGTAGGGCTAAAGGCACGAGCAGTGAGCGGTGGAAAACCCTGACCACACTGACCATACGGTGGCAATGGTGTCTAAAGAACATGAAGGAAGGATCCACCTGACCTAATCATACTCTGCATGCGTCCTAGCAGAGGACACATGGTCCCTCTCGGCTGGACAGCCAGGCCAGAAAAAGCAGCACCCAATTTTCCAGAACTTCTGGTTTGTTTTTTCTATAATTACAGAGAAAAGTAACAAGGTGCGAAGCCAAGGGGCAGGATATGAAGACAATGCAGGTAACCTACCGTTTCAGGAGCGCAGGCAAACTTCTCGGAAATCATGAAAGGCACGCCGTCCATTGCTGGAAGAGAGCACAGGGAGAGATGCTGTGAGCAATACAGGAGGGAGGCCCCATAAACAGTCCAAGGATTAGTGACACCACTTCTGACAAGTGTCCTGGTAAGGTACTCCCAGCTGGGGCAGGCCCGTCTGCAAACTCCCCTAACTGCACTGCCAGTCCAGTGATGGCATGGGCCACACCATTTCACCAGGGAGCCAGGAATAGAGATAATACCCCCAATCTATTTGTCCATGTGTGCAAGTGTATAGAGCAAGTTTTGTGAAGCTGTTCCCAATCCAGCTGGTCTTCGTACAGAACCAGCCTCAAGTGTGGCAGTGTTTAGAGCCGAGAACAAATGCAAAGTCTTCTTCAAAAGGACAGACTTCCCGTTGCCACTTGCGGTGTAATAACGGCCTGCATGTGAACTGCTCTGTAGCAGGAACCCCCCTCAGCCGATCTGTTTTCCTACTGAGAGGGTAAGCAATTGCTGGGTTCAGAGGACAAGATGGCTCTTGTCTCCCCAGAACAAAGCACCAGTCTTCGCACAGACCAGCCGACACAGGGAGGGGTCCAGTATGAGGGTCAGAAGCTTTTGGGAGTTCCTTAAAAACACACCCAGCACAAACACACCCAGAGCACAGCACATTGCAACAGTAGGGAGGAAATGATGGAGAAATGACCTCTCTTTGCCAGTCTCCTACTGATGAGAACAAGAGAGAGCAAGCAATAGCGCACACGTAAGAGACAGGCAGTTGGAGACAGATACTCATGACAGAGCAAAGTAACAGAGACCCGAGGACTGGGCCACTGCGTGGCGTGCAGTCCAGAGGCCCAGACGCCTGGCATCATCCAGTGGACACGCAGCAGACCTGGCCTACCCGTGGCATCCTGTGTGCTTTCCAAGGTGCCTCAGCACACATGAACTGGCTGATTTCTAAACCTGCAGCTTTCAGCACTTTCTGCAGAGCTGCCAGAAAATGCCCAGTCCCTGGTCAGAGCACGCATCTGAGACAGGCTTTGCGGCTACTCCATGCCTGCCAGCCTGCTGCACCCAATCTCTCCAGATTTCATCCTTGGGAGAAATAAATCCCCTCCAATGTGCTTTTAACCCTTTAAACTGTTCTCCCCTTAATACCCAAACAGGTCATTGTGCCTGGCGATGCCTTTTGAACATCCCCGCACCTCTGCTTCCAGTCCCGCTGAGGAGTTCAGGTCACGGATCTCATGGGACTTAGGTTCATTCAGTAATTTGCATTCTCTTTGCACATTTCATGCTGAGGGCCCCTGGCTCATGGTGCGTGGGCGCCTTCCCTTCCCAAGGAGAGTGCTGCGTGTCAGACAACACGCACAAGGCACCGGGCGCAGCCGTGCGATGCAGTGAAGGCAGCTCTGGAACCTGTAAAACCAGAATGTCTTCCCCACCACAGACAGCCACTCCGATCGGTTGCACGCTGGCTTTCGTAAAGTGTTAGAGAAGGAAATCCAAACGGGGGCAGGCTTCCTCTCTGGCACCAGCAAAACATGCACAGAACCACCATCGGGTTCCTTCAGCCTTTGTGGCCGGCAGCGTTAACAAAACGCTGATACACAGTGCAGAACAACACACGGTGGATGAAAGCAGGATGATGGTAGCTGACAGTACATTATCCCAGCCAATACTTTGTCTACCCAGTTCTTAAAAATCTCCAAGGATGGAAATTACACATCCTCTCTGGGCAGCCTGTTCCAATGCTTTACTACCTTCTTCAT